TAGTCCGACATCTACATTCTTTAGATCCGACAACTTCCCCTTTGACAAAAGTGTCTTCATCCCTTTCTCGCTCATATGGCCAAGCCTTTGGTGCTATAGGTTTGATTTTCCATCAGCATCTGCTACTGCAATGATATTCTCTAAATTTGAGGTTATATAGAGAGTACACTTTTTCTTACCACGAGCAATGACGAGTGCTCCTTTGGTAATCTTCCATTCACAACCTGAAAAGGTTGTATTATATTCTTCTCCATCAAGCTGTCCTACAGAAATCAAATTCCTTTTGAGGCCAGGAATATGTCTCACTCCTGTCAACTTCCAGGTGGCCTGGTTTGGCAAATTTAATCGGATGTCTCCTTTTCCGACGATCTTCAAGGTTTTATCACATGTCTCATCTGTCATGTTAGCATATTCCTGTGCACTGGTATCTTTATTCAATGCTCGGCAGTCTCTTTTAAAGTGACCATTCTTGCCACAATTATAACAGGTAAAATTTTTCTTTCCCGTTCTTGATTTTCCCCTTTTGGATTTGAATCTGCCACGATTTGAATTTCTTTCTGAAGTTCTCCCTCTGGACTCCGTGTGCAAGGCTGAGGAGGTTAATGCTTCACCCGATTCTCTCCGTCGAATTTCTTCGCTCAGTACCAGATCCTGAACATCGTCGAATTTCAATTTATTATTTCCCGACGAGCTGCTAAGTGCTGTAACAGTAGCATTCCAACTGTCTGGTAGAGATGATAAGAGAATTAAAGCTCGAACTTCATCATCGAATTCAATTTCCACTGAACTCAACTAGGTTGTGATTGTGTTGAGTTCATTTAGGTGTTGTGCCATTGATGCCCATTCCGTCATCCGCAAATTGAATAATCGCCTCATCAAGTGCAATTTGTTTGAGGCTGATGGCTTCTCATACATACTGGAGAGAGCCGCCATAAGACTCGTCGTGGTCTTTTCCTTTGCTATGTTGAAAGCAACATTGCAGGATAACGTCAGTCGGATAACTCCGAGGGCTTGTCTGTCGAGAAGAGCCCAGTCTTTATTCTTCATGCCCTCTGGTTTCTTTCCTGAGAGAGGTTGATATAAATTTTTCTGGTACAAAAATTCTTCGATCTGCATCTTCCAAAAGCCAAAGTCCGCACCATCGAACTTTTCAATTTTCATCTTCCCTTCGTCTGCAGCCATCGCTCCCACTCGAATCTGGTTTCGTTTGGATCGTTTCTGACAATTCTTGCGAACCACCGTATATTAGAACACCTCCATCGACAAACTCGTATCGCTAACAAAATTTTTACTATTCACAAAATTCACTATTCTCGTGAATAGTAATGAATAGTAACATCGCAAAAAAAATTGACAAAATTCACAACTAAAAGCTCTGATACCAGTTGTTAGGAAATAAACCGAGTACGAGTAATTTTCCTATAACCAGATTAGTGAAAATGCGAAATAAAAGCGGAAAAATAATACCCGAAATTGATAACGGAGTTCAGCCAATTTGCTTAAGTCTCCGGACAGCTGCAAATCTTTTACTATGAGAGAAAATTTACAGGTGTTTACAAAACACTCACTACTCACAAGAAAGCTCTCTAGTATTGGGAAAAAGAAATGATTTTTGGGATTTGAGATGGTTTTGAAGCTAAATGAGCTAGGGTATTTATAGTTGAAACTTAGGGACTAATATTTGAAAATACCTTACAGTGCAATGACTAAAGTGAATTTACCCATTCCTATTCTCAACAAACATCTACCAAACTTTACCAAACTTTGAAAAACATTTTTCAAAGAAACATTTACCAAACTTTGAAAACCATTTTCAAAGAAACATTTACCAAACTTTGAAAACCATTTTCAAAGTTGGTTGCCAACCTTTGGACTTTTAACACCCCGGGAATGGATTTCACATTCCCCCGTTTGGTTTGGCCGGGAATATCATTCCCGGTAATGTTTTATTACCAATAGTGGATTTTTTGGGGTATATTACCGGAAATGTCATTACATCTCTTCCCTTAGGTATTGTAACATTACAGGCGTTTTGGACTAAAATGCCCTTAAATTTTTTTTTCTTCAAAAATATCATTATTCTGTTATTGAATAATAAAATTTCTACAAAGGTTAAATTACAAATTTATCCTTAAATTATTTTATATTTACAAAAAATCTATAATTAAAATTTCCCTTAGGTATTGTAACATTACAGGCGTTTTGGACTAAAATGCCCTTAAATTTTTATTTTTTTTTCAAAAATATCATTATTCTGTTATTGAAAAATAAAATTTCTACAAAGATTAAATTACAAATTTATCCTTAAATTATTTTATATTTACAAAAAATCTATAATTAAAATTTATATGAAGTTCAAGGGTTGAATAAAATTTTACCCTTTCATTAAACCTTTTTTATATTTTTAATTTTGTAAAAAATTATATAAATATTATGAATTTAAATTTTTAAAGAAAATATATAAATCTTTTACAACTTGTAATATTATACAAATATATAATAAGGACAGTTTGGTCAAATATACATTCCAATAATCTTTTATTCCTTTAACCAAACGCGGTAATCTTACATTCCTATTAAACCAACCAAACACAAAATACAACATTCTCAGCAATCTTATTCCATGGTAATATTTTATTCTCACTGGTAATCTTACATTTCGTGAACCAAACGCACCCTAAAATTTAGCATCTGCTTTAAATTTGGTAGACAATATTGATAAGATGCTTTTACTAAGAGTGAGCATTAGATCGAGTTGAGTCAAATATTTTGATTTATTTGAGTTGACGAATCTTGTTTTATAACCTGAACTTGATTTAAATTTTTTTGGAGTCAAATCGAGTTTATAAAATTCGAGTCGAGTCGACTTGTTCGAGTTTTTGTTTAAATTTAATTGTAAATATTTTTAATATTATGATATTATTTGATTCTAATTTAATCGGTTTTTTATAAATATATACAATACATATATATTTCTTCATATTTTTTTCATATATGATATACATATATCATACAAAATTAAGATACTCGACTCAAACTTGAAAATCAATCAATTAATTACTAAAAAATTTGAGTAATTCAAATTACTATTTAAGTTATTTGAGTTCTATTTTATAACTCGATTCAAATTTTTTTTCTAAATTGAATCGAATTTTACTCACTTATAGTCTCTACTTTATTTGTGTAAGTCGGATTTTGATAACTATGACTCAACCTAAATAGTTGATTCCACATAGATGAAGGCCCACCAAATTAATACAATTAGTGTTTTTTGTACTAACCAAGCGACCTCCGTAGTAAAAAAAATTGTTGTTATTCCTTGAAGTATTAGGTTTAAGCACTAGAAATACTAGAGGTGTAATCATTCAACGTCAAATAGTTGAAAGTCATCTTAATTTTGTACTTATCACATATTAATAATAACAAAAAAATAATCTTTCTCTAAAGATACAATATAAAAAAAGATAAATTATATAACTTATATTTAAGTAAATTTATATTTTCAGGCGCATTATACATATAATTTGGAAAATATTTTGGACGGAGCTTTCTTTAGTCTTTATACAATGATTATGTATTACAAATGTTTGGAAGACGATTATTAGTCTTTTAAAAAACTGAGGACAACGAATCCTCCATATGCCCGACCGGGTTTTAGTTTTATGCTAACAGAGGAAGAGAAAATAACGATATTGGAATCAACGGAACCTAAGAAACTAACGATGAAATCAGCTCTGGTATTCCAAGAAGGAATAAGCTTGATCCTATCTCGGTGGCCGGCTTGAAAAAGAGTGCGACGACCGTGATTACTGCGACGAAGTCAACTCCATCTGCATCGACGTCTTCTCGTTTGAATATTAACTAAGAAGACTGGTGTGAAGCTGGATATGTGTGCATTTTGCAGGATTCTTGTTCAGAAATTATAAGAAGGAAGTGGCAAATATCCATGAACTAAGGAGTAAGGAACAGAGGATGCTTAGTTTTTCATGGTATAGACGCAACTGAAATGGCGAACCATTGCTACGTTGGAGCCATTAAATTCTATCGAATCATTTATAACTTCCCTGACGGTGGTTTTTGTTCAGACGAACCAGGCGAATTCCAGAAGCGGTAAGCCAAAAAAATCTTCACTTCTGCACAAACTCGTATATAAAAATCTCACTTTTTTCCATTTTCTTTTTGTAGTAGACATCAGTTGGTGATGAGCTGTTCTTTTAAGAACGCCAAGTAAATGATTAACGAGTGTGGCGAAATCTATGTGACCCATAAACCGAATGGGTTCTTTCTGGATTGGAATTTACGGTGGCTGGCGGCCACCGTGGGGCTGAGGCTTATACAAGAGGTGCGGGTGCGATTCAATTTGACTGATTTCCCAGGGTACCACACCAAGTGTGGGTTCGCTGGTGACAAGAATTTCTACTGTCCTCCTAGCAAAACTTATACATTTGGTTTATTTCCAAGTTCCAACTATATCGCCATGAAAGTCTAGTGTACTGTAAAATCACAGTAGTAAATTGTCATATTTCTTCGTGCTCGGCTTAGTTCGTGGAGAGGCAAAGCAGTTACAGTGAAAATGGTTCTGAATTCTGATTTTGGTTGTGTATACAGAAGAAGAAAATTTGAACAAATTTTAGAGAGCAGAATGAGTAGGAAAAAGTGAGTTTTGAATACGATGAAGTGATGTGAGAAGGTAAGATTAATACTTACGTCAACATTTTATCATCGCGGTAACTGTTATTAACGAAAAATCAATTTATTATAAATTAATAATATTAATAATTAATTTATCATTTTTAAAATTTTGATGAGAGAAAAAAAAGATATACTTAAATATTAATAATTGTTTGTGTAATTTACCCAAGAAAATCAAAAGCTATGATTAATGGATAGAATAGTAACTGCTAAGAACGCGTGGATCCCACCATAGCGCGTGATAAAAATAAATCACAATAAAATTTTCCCATTGTATATTACTTCCGCGCTCTCATTTCCCGGAAACACAAAAGAAAAGAAACAGGAGAGAATAAGAGATGTACCGATACGAGCGCGTGAGCAACACGAGCGCCACTAAGGCGGATAAAGTAGAAGTAGATTTAGAGTCGGGGGATACTCTGTACCCTGGACTGAGCTACGGCGAGAATCAGCTCCGATGGGGCTTTATCCGGAAGGTTTACGGAATCCTTGCCGCACAGCTGGTTCTAACCACCGTGGTCTCTGCCTTCGTGGTGTTGTCGGCTCCGGTGAACGAGCTCCTCCGTGGAAACTCTGGCCTCTTGCTCTTCCTCTGTTTAGTCCCCTTCATCTGTAAAGTCATCTCCTCTATGTCTTTCCTTCAAATTTTCAATCTTGATTCTTTCTATTCCACGCCCTTTAAACCTAGTAAATTAGAATTTGTTATGATAGAAATACTACTATTTCTTAGACCTCCATGTTGATTAGTTCACTTATAATTGTTTATTATGAAGTTAAATCTCTTCCGAGCGTTAGTGTATATTGAATCCATTAATAAATCCAGTGTTTGATCTTAAATTCCAACCCAATTTGTGTCTATAGTTGACATTTTTGTTGGATGAACAAAAAATTGGGTTAGTGAAGTACTAAAGTATTATTGATATATATTATCCCTGAAAGGAACATGGAGAATCTTAGGAAGAAAGGAACATAGAGATTGAGTAGAGGAATTGATAAAAGTTTGGTTCCCTAAACAATGGCAGTTTTTTTCTGCCATTGCTTCTATATTGTATTTTGGTCTATTTGCTTTATCCGGATGATTTCCATGTGAAAGTTAAGAGTTTAGATCTTATTGCTGTCTCATTTGGTGCCATTATTTTGTTATATTGGGTATTTTAATAAAGAGATCTCTAATGTTCCTAACCTAACCAAATGCTGGAGATCTTCATGTTTGCTTTGATGTTTTGTAAATCTTTTTTTCAATAGTATGCTACTTGGACTTTATGTGAGCCTCAGATGTGGATAATTTTAATTTTTATCTCTGTTTTTCATGTATTTGAAGGGTCCTTGAAAGTTCATATCCTGATACACATGTTCAAAATTCAAATACGAACGCAGCTACTTAAACAAAAGAAAAAATAATTGAAGATATATAGAATCAATAGCCTATCCTTTTGGGTGTTTTTTCTGTAAACTTTGTTGGCTTCCCATGATAACCTTAATTTCGTGTGAAATAGTGAACTGGCTTTTGTCTTTCCTGCAGTAGGTTTCAGTCATTAATGCGATAATGGCACTGACTAGCCATTGTGCTCTCATTTTTACCTTTTTAACATTCATAAAATGTTTACCTTTCTTTTGGGTTGGTTATAAACTTGTAATGCATTCAAGATATTTGGAAGTTACTAGTTTTATGTCTTATAATTTTTGCAAGCTTAGACTTTAACAGTTGACACCGTACACTCTTAATAATGGCCTAGATTTTCTTTCATCTAATTCTTATAAAATCGAAGATAGATATCGAATGCTTGGTAGTCATGAAGTCTTAGTTTTTGTTTTGGTTTCAACCTTATTTCCAGATTGCTATTAGATGCTATAAACAAATAAAAAAAGGGAACCTCCTTTTTAATGTGGTTAAGAAAGAAGTTAGAAACTTCCCAGACTATATACCTAATCTACTAGGTTGAGTTATAAGTGTTCTTGTTCTCAAGTATTTACTTCAGATTACGACGGACTCTGTTTCATCTGTTTTATCGCATTACTGTGCTTTATCTTCAATCTTAACAATAAACTCATACCGTATAGTGTTGTGGCCCCTGCACATTTATCACCAAAAGCACCCGGTAAACTTGATCATACTTGGCCTTTTCACTGTGTCTCTGAGTCTCACAGTTGGTGTGAGCTGCGCCAACACTGAAGGTTAGTATCGTACTCTATGCTTACGGTTAACAATCCTATGCTGATTGTTGACTTCTAAATCTAGAATTATGCTAACTGCTTTTTCATCAAATGATTTCAGGGAGAATTGTGCTTGAAGCACTAATTTTGACGGCAGGTGTGGTTGCATCGCTTACTGGTTACACTTTCTGGGCTTCTAAGAAGGGCAAAGACTTTAGCTTTCTTGGGCCAATTTTGTTCACCAGCCTTATAATTCTCATCTTAACTGGTTTGATCCAGGTGAGATTTCTCAGTCACCTATATATTTATGGTTGTAGCCTGTAGGGATGGAATCTCATTTGAGAATTAATATGTGAATGTGAGTCTGAATTAAATAATACCATCTGCGGGATTCAAATAAGCAATTTGGATAACTGAATTAGTAATCCACAAAAGAAAAACGGATTCGGATAGCAGATCCCATATCCGAATCATTTACCCTCATTAGAATTCTAATTCAGATAATTGATACTCGAGATTTAATTACCTGCAAGTACCGCACACGCACACTACTTGAATTCTCAAAAATGAAAATGATATTCACAGTTATCTGAATCCGCACACTGTTTGTATTATTGTCATGCAGATGTTCTTTCCACTTGGCTCAACATCAACTGCCGTCTATGGCGGAATTAGTGCCTTCATTTTCTGTGGGTACATAGTCTTCGACACCGACAACTTGATCAAGCGCTTCACATACGATGATTACATATTGGCTTCTGCCACTCTCTATTTGGACATCCTGAACTTGTTCATTTCCATATTGCGGGTGCTGAGATCAGGCGATAACTAGTTGTACCGGTCAGATCGGTGAAAATGGATTTATGATATTCGAATTATCGTCTGAAAGAATAGGAAGAGTGATAGCGTCTATATGGCATGTTATATCTTGTGGTTTTATGTCAATACTATATGCTTGCTGCTCCGATTTGCAGTTTCCCTAACTTGATCAGCTGTGGTATGCGAATGCATTGTGATATTCGGATGCATAATCGAGTCTATGATTTATCTTTTAAATTAATTTTGCTTAGTGAATAATCATTGTTAATGGATCATGCAATGAAACATTTTATTATTCCTTTTCTATTTTTAATAAAGACTTGGTTGGCTTTTCGCGTTTCAAAAAAGAAAAAGTTTTTTAAAATAGTAATAATAATAATTTAAGTTTTTTTTTTGAGAAAACAGGAGATATTTTATTAGCCATAACATGCATCATGTACAACAGAAGACACAATACACAACGTATAATCAAGTTGACAATCCAAAACATAATTGAGCAAAATGTGAGGGCTAGAATGTAGTAGTAGTAGAAGATGGTAGTGGACAACGCATGCACCATGATAACCACATTCAGTGCGTCGCTCTCAACCTCTACTCGAGAATAATTTAGAGATTAATAATTGATTTCATAATTTGGGTTAAATGAATGCATAGAACAAAAAGTGGATTTATATAAACTATCATGTAATAAAAATGTTTCTTTTGTTCAAAAAGAATAAACAATAAAATATGTTTTTTTAAAAGTCTGAATAGATTGTGTATAACCTGCTTGCTCTTTTCTTCTCTCCATTATATCCTTTGCCTTTTGTTTTCTCTCAAATCATTTGAATCTGCTCTTTGTTTCTTTTTTTTTTCAAAAAGGAAATGATGTTATTATTCTTCTAAAAGATGTCTTGAAGAACGATAAAGATCATAAGGAGCCCCACAAATAATCAACGACGCAAGGTTTACTGGAATCAAGCCTCAACCATGGCTTCCCTTTCCCACTCCAATGGAGAAGGCTAACGGGACCAGGGTGAATATTCCTGCATTTTCCTTCAAAGTTATCGCCACCCAATCCATGCTGGTTCCACCTATGATCCACTGGCTTAATATTCCCTGCCAAAACCAGCAAAAATGGTGGCAAAGAACCCAAATGATATATCCTTTTCTTCTTTTGAAACGTCATCCATTCCTCAACTTTCTTCGTATACCATCCTCTTCTCCATTTATCAACATCCACGACCATAACTCCGGTATTAAAATAACATGGGTTCCTCCCTTGGAACGTTTTCGACAGCTTCTGGTCCGACCAGAAAGCATGGTTGAAATAGACGGTGAAGTTTGCTTGGCAATATTCTGGTGCTGCTAAAACCTTGTCTTCCATGTCCACGTCCCAAAGCTTCTTGACATCGTCGAACACGACGAGGTCCGAGTCCAAATAAAGAACCCTTGTCACATCCGCCGGCAATATATCGGCCAGATAAATCCTTGCGTAGTTCAATGGCTGATCCAAAGCATGTCGTATCGACCTTGATATCTTCCCGCGAACTCGGTTCGAATCGAAACGATAGATTTTGAAATTCAGGTAAGGGAAGGTAGATTGGATGCTGGAAACGAGCTCGACGTGGGAGTGAGTGCAAAGGAAATGGAAGTACAAGTTCTCCGGGCAAGTTGAGTGTTGCAACATGGACAAAACAGCCGCCATTGTTCCTCGGAGATAGTTTTCGTCAAGGGTCATTGCAATGTGGATCAGGTCAGACTTGTTGGATCCACATGAATCGCCATTGCGGAAAGCCGGCGCTTCCTTGAAAACGGGAAGGTTCCCTGAAGAAGGGTTGTGGATGATGGTTTTGACACGGATGGCGACGTTGGTTGTGACGGCGAAGTGGATGAAGAGGAATGAGAGAATAAGGCCAAGCGGTGAAGCAATAGGGATCGATAAAGTTCTCCACAAGGCCATCCTGTGCCTAGCTTTTGTGTTCTTCCCGTGTGGAGGTTAAAGTTGAAGGTTGAAGAGGAAAATTAGAGCAGGCATTTGAGATTCAAATTAATCCGCAAAAATGAGAATTTTTTTTTTCAAATTTGGTTGATGGTTAAAGGTTGAATGGAAGACAATGAGCAAATTATAAGGGGAAAAAATAAGATAAAGAAAAGACCACAGCTACCTAGATTTTTGAAGATGTGTTTAGGTCTATATTTTCCCTTTTTGAGATAAAATTTAGACAAATTTTTGCTCTAAGATTTTCTGTTTGAAGAACGGTGGAGAGTTTATACATATATATGGTTTTGGTTAATTTAATTTTTATAAGCAACATCATTCCCACGTTAATCCATGTTTGTTAATGATTTTCCCCTTATTTTTCTTAAAAATAACTTTAGAATTTATGTCCATCTTAACACTTAAGAGGTCAATTAAAAATACTTTTTTGAGCGATGTTATATATATATTCCTGCGGATGTATGTATTTTCCCGGGGTGGTAGGTATATACTCTAAAATCTGAATTTGTTTATGTTAGTTATTCATTTATTGAACATGTCTATGAAATTTTATTTTTACTCATCCCATACAAATTTTTTATATTATTACTACATATATGTATAAGTTAAAAAATATTTTTGGATCCACCATTGATTATATATATTATGGACTTAGAATCTATCATTAATCTTATATTAATTTTTTGAGGTTGTTTAGCCTTTTATTTCATAAATTTTTAGTGTAAAATAATACTTAGGCGGAAAAACCAATCATATATCATTTAGGCGACAAAAAGTCCATATATCATACGGATAGTAAAACCGACCATATATTATTCAGACAACAAATTCAACCATTTATTAAACTAATACAAATGCAATGAGAAGTTAAAATAAATTAATGTTTAATCGGAAAACTTATAATTACAAGATAAAAGGACATTTTTATTAATACACAATACAATTACAATATTACACCCTTATCTCACTATTTTTTTCCTTCTCTACACTTAAGTCCTCTTTCTCTAATTCATAGTTTTAATTTACACTCTTTTTACTCTAACAACAATGGTAACTATCACCCCTCCTTATGATTTTAGTAATCATTGTATTGTTGACATGTGAACATCTTATCTATATTAACTTTAAAAATATCTAGATTATTTTATAGATAATGTCTTTGATTAATCTAATGTAATTACAAGGTAATATATGTTTGATAGAATATCAATCATTTGCAATGAACACTCAAAGACCCTTAAAGATATTATGCTCGAACCCGAGACCTCTAAGAATAACAATCATTCCTTAACTACTGAGGTCGCTTGATTCGTACTTTTATAGATAATTTTAGATATAATATTAAATATTATAAATATCTAAATTATTTTGTGAATGTTTTTAAATGCATGTATATTATTTCTATATTGTTTTAGAATATTCTCAAGATATATCTATTAATATATAAGTATTGATTTTTTTTTGCTCGGCAATAATCAATTTATTAAATTAAAGTTGAATACAAAGTTCACCTTATGAGCCTCATTAAAAATCTCCCTAAAATTGGAGGAAAAGAGTGCTACATAAGAGAACAACAACAGGCACTGCTGCCCAAAAACAGAAACCAGAACATCCATCTCAGAACATTACACCATTACATCCATCAAGACAAAAAAAATAAAAACCAATAAAGCAAAACCAATCGAAAGGACTTCCTCGACACCATCATCTCATGCAGATACAGCAATAACATGCAGATACAGCAATATAAGTATTGATTTACAAATAATTACTAATAACTATCAAGTTCAAAAACGAGATGTTACAATCTACACATTCATTCATTTACTTTAAATTTATTTGCGAAAGAGGGTTACCTTTAAAAATGGTTGAAAAGGGATAGCTGACAACCCTTGATTGGATAACATTAAAGTAAACTTAATTAAATTAATGTCGAGGTGGAAATGCACCCTTTCATAAACAATTATCACTATCTTAAGGGAATAAATTTTCGCCCCATACGTCTCAAACACCAATAACAACTTTATAACAAGCGTAGAGAGACCTTTGCTAATATGTGCAATGGAGTAACCTTCAAAACCACTCTTAATGTTATGAGACACCTTTGCTCAGTCATAGTATTGAGGTTCCCCGTTAAATAACTCAACACAAAGAAACCTCCGCTTGCGATTATACTGGAGAAGATGCCTTCCTTCACCAATCAAATTCCTTTAAAAATGATAAGTCCTCTCTACCCAAGGGACTCCACCAATCATCCACAACATAGATCAACACCTCCACTTAAGCATTGAGAATTTGGCATAGGAAGACCTCCGCCCACAATTACACCGGAGAATCTAAATCTTCCATATTGTTTCTCTGCTATTAAGCGTTGAAATCTACTACGTTAAAAAGTTGCCAAATTATTACTTGGAGTTATCTCCAAAGGGTGAAATATCTCCGCCACGACGTTAAAATGCCCACCACATAGCAAATTGTATATTCTACTTAGCCATAGTAGCGAGGTCCCCCCACTAAATAACATAATCGAAATATGCCCCTGGTTATAATCAAACTCGAGCATCCAAATAGCTTAGACTACATCCCCTCCTCAAACAATGAGATTCTCCACTCCTTAGAAAAAATTACACGAATAACATAATTAATACCTCCACACCTAGTGTTAAAAGCCGTCAACCAAAGAAACTTTTTCCCAAACAATACACCTCCAATAACTCTAGCCTAACAGAGTCTCCAAACATATATCTCTGTCCCTTTATCCTCTGTGTGATCCAATGCCTCCAGAAATATCTCCTTCGTTCCAGCAAGAGATGCACATAACCTTTTTACAAGCACTAAGATGCTTCCTACTCTGAAGTCATCTACCACCATTACATAATTGAGAAACGAAAGAATCCCCTTTGACTCACCTAAGGTTTCCACCCTCTACTCAAGCATGAGCGTTAAAGATGCCTTCTTCGAACACGTAAAAGACCCTATCAACCAATATATTTCGTGCATCAACCACGACTATCTGCCCATGTCAAAAGAGATGAACTACTAACGATCAACACAAGCCATTCGTTCCCCACCAAAAAACACCCAACAAAAAGCCACTTTATGGTATTCCCCTCGACTAAGGGGAGACAACTTGTTATACATTCGGAGATAGCCTTCAAAAACCTCCAAACCTTCATTAGATCAAACTCACTGAAACTGCCAACTGCCCACATCCCAAGGTCTTAAAACAAATCTTTCCACTCACTAGAGCCTCTGACTAGCCTACATCCTCTTAACACAAGCTTCTAATCAACTACAGTGCATAGAAAAGAACTTTAACAGGCTCACGTGATATGCCAGAACGAAAACCAAAGTCTGAATAACGAATTCACTAGCCCATTAGTCTACAAATAACCATAATGACCCTACAATTGACACACACACACACTAAAGACTACTATAAATATCCCTAATCAAGACCAAAAGAAGGGATGGATCGCCTAGGATCACGGTTGATCCACCTTGAACAAGCATGCAATCTTCTTTTTCTTCACGATCACTTGCTCTCTTCTTCATCCAAATATCGACCAACAGTCATTTTCTCCCCGGTGCGACTCTTTGTCTGAATCAGAAAAAGTGAATCACTAACAACCAACAAGATAAACTTGTTGTCATCGGCACAAACATATATTCTTATAATCAATGTTATAGTTGATATTGTAAATATATTAGCATATCATTATATTTTATGTTATAATATTTTTTTCAATTCCATTAACCAAATACAAGAATGTTAAAAATTCAGTGACTATCGGTATAATTTATCTTTTTAATAAAATTATGGTGCACGATGGATCTGGTTCTTTTATAAATATTTTTAAAAAGTACTTCTAAATCTAAGATTATGATTATATTTATTATATTTTATAGTAAACTGTGATAAAATAAATATGAATCATAATAATATTCATTACCAATACTGCGGCTGCCCTCCGAATTTATTATTATATTCATGAAACAATGTGAAACGATTTTTTTGGTCTAACAACAATGATAATACTTAAAAATTGACTCTCTTTACGATATTTTAATTATATATATTTGTCTTGATTGGCGGAATAGAAGGATTACCTTACCCACATTTAAATTTGAGTCATAATTAATTTTATTATATATCGTGTCTTGTAGTGAATAATTAAGGAGTATTAATTGACTGATTATGGGATTCCCTGATAAGCTTTTTATCATAAACAAATTATTGTCCTTTTCACTTGTACGCTGCATGACACGATGGTTCGGATTTACATGAAATTTTCATGGAAAAAGTAAAAACAAGTTGTATCACATCACGCGACCTTCTCCTTGGATTTGTTCATGTCCCTTTCAGTTTCTCTTCTCAGTAAGACCTTATCTAAATGTGAACCTCCCACCCACCACCATTTTCAAACCTTTTCTCGCAACATTGATCCATTCATTTCCCATTTTGAAGCATTCACAAAATTAACAAAGAAACTTATATATATATATATATAGTTATATCATCAGTTGAATTGTTTTGGAGTTATACAGAATGGGAAGAAGTCCATCATGCAGTTCAGATGGTTTGAAGAAAGGAGCCTGGACTCTTGAAGAAGACCATAAGCTCATTTCGTACGTTCAGAAACATGGCGAAGGTGGGTGGCGTTCCCTGCCACAGAAAGCTGGTAAATCATCACATCTTATCTATCATTTGAATTCAAGTGCAAGTTTCAGCTGTGGGAATGTGGGAAGTGGAAGTGAAGATATAATGTTAGTCTTGCAGGTCTTGAAAGATGTGGGAAGAGCTGTAGACTTAGATGGATTAATTATCTAAAACCTGGAATTAAGAGAGGAGACTTCACACCTCACGAAGATCAAACCATTATTAAACTTCATGCTCAATTAGGCAACAGGTCAGGTCACTGATCTACAAGCTAGGAATTGCTTTTAAACACATTCATTGATTTGACTTCAGCTCCTTTTAAGAATGTTCTATAAATCTGTTCTCTTTCCATTGTTTTCTTCGTGTTTACATTATCAACTCATCAGGTCAGGGTTACGATAATCCCCTACATTCTTTTCCTTCCCTTTTTAACAAGCAATGTGGGTTCGGGAGACAAAGGAAAACATATTGTAAATTGTGATAAGATGTATGCATGCACCGGAGAACATAGTGATGTTAGAAATGCATCTCTTAAATTATAAACCTTTTGACAAGTTGGTACAGTATTTTGCATCAGTAAATAGAATAAAATATTAAGCTGAAGACTAATTTAATTATTTCATAACATGATAAATCTAATGTAGTCTATATGTCGTAAATATCATTATATCAATGCCTTTTACGTTTAAGATAAGACAAAATTGTACCATTTATTTTGTTTTAATTTTTATAATAAATCATGGTATGTATTTAAATTTTTATTTTCATATAGGTGGGCTACAATTGCCAAGCAGTTTCCAAGGAGAACAGATCATGAAATTAAAAACTATTGGCACGCTCATCTCAAGAAACGCTTAGCTAAAACATGTATAGATCCGACGACAACAGGCCGCAGCTCATCCAGCGGTACCACCGTCACTGCCGCCAATCCCAAGACCGACACAGAATGTGTTAAACCACAACCATCCGAACCCAAAACGCAACGCTCAGCTTCGACATTGCTACTCAATAAGTTAGCCACTAGAGTTACCCAATGTGTCGGCCTTTTACAATCAATGCCATTCAACGGTAACGGTACCTTTTCCCAACCCTTTTCAAGTTGTGCGGCAGCACAATCATCAGATAATAATATCACTGATTCGCTCACAACACCGGAAACTGGAAACGCCATTGATGAAGGTGTTTTAAACGACATCACGGCTTCCGAATTTTCTTCATTCACTTGCGTTGATGGGATTAATGATTGGCATAACAACAACGACAAATTTCTAACAGGAGAAATCCAAGTTGACAATCAGAGTGATTCTGTAACTGTTAACTACTATGAAGGACTATGGGATGACGATGCAGTTGATGATCATATGATCTTTGATACAGTGGGATCTCTGGGATTTTATGATTCTAACCTATTTAGTTCAAGTGATGTTAGTCCTTGACAGTATGCAGAAGTTTACTTTGAAAGATTCAAATTTCAATTCAATAAACAACAATTTCTTTCAGAATTGTATGTTTCTTTTTTCCCTTTTGCTTAATGATGATAACGGGCAAATTTGTTTGGATAGGGCATCGGAAAAATATTTATTTTTATTTGGGCTGGTGTAAATTTTATTCTTTTTAATAGGATGAATGTTATAGTATCTTTTAGAAGACGTTAGAAATATTCGACATCTTCAATGGAAGACACAAGGAAAACACAATGTCTTTTACTTGCTTGTTTGGGGGAAGATATCGGATTTTTCATGTATTTTCAGCAAAAGACATAAGATAATCTCAACGTCTTCCCAAACACTATAAAAACCACCCTACTTAAGAAAATAAAATCTACACCACGCCTTATACAAAATTTTATTCTATCAAAATAAATTTACCAACGATAATGCTAAACAACTAACTTATATAATAGGGAGAATATCACTATTACACCCTATTTTTTATATTGGGCAAAGTGTGTCACATTAGGTCACTAAATATGATTATGTATATACATGTGATGATGTACGACTCACATATATTGAGATACAAGGTCAGATTATGTTCATAGTTAGACCCTTAGTTACAGACTAAAGAAAGTATGACATTACCATATTATTTGAGATAATTAATGTACCTAAAGCATGTAACTTTGGACTTATGAATCATGTATATATTTATTGTTTATTCTTATAGCTTATAGCATACTTACGTTTTGAGATTCATACTGTTATTCTAGATTAATGATATATTGTTGAACTTTTTGAAACTAAACATCTAAATGTTTCCATTCACATGTTAGTAGTTTGAGCTTATTCAAGGAGCACCGCCGCGACAAGGTGTCTAGCATCTTCTTTTAAAGTATTTTATTATTATTTTTAGTAGACACGTGTCTTTATAAGACTATTATTCATGTATTGGGATTGTAACCTTAAAGTTATTATTATTTTTGTTTATATTTTGTGTTATGAAGCTCTGATATATATATATATATATATATATATATATATATTATTAGAATTTTATTTTGATAAATATATTATATTTTGAAAAGAAAGTAATAAAGAAGTTAAAATTTAGAGATTGTCTCGACCAATGTTTTTAAAACCAGACCGGACCTTAAATTGATGAAGGTACTGGTTCATTGGTTCACTGGTTTAACAGTGGTTCAACCGGATTGAACCGGCTTATATAAAAGAATATTTTTTTAAAATTTTACATAATATTTAAAACAATATATATATATATATAATATATATATATATATATATAACACTCTTTTCAAGTTTACAATATTAAAAGGTATAAAAATATCACAAGTCATAACATATATAAGTTAAATACCACAAAATCAAGTGAAACAAAATTATTCAAATTAACTACAACATAATATTTAAGGTCAAAACCTAATGAAATTCATCAACAACTAAATAAAAAAAGTATATAATTGATACAAATATCAATCATCATAATCAGAAAATAAATTTGGGGCTGAAAAAAATCATAACAAACGACGTCGTTTGGTTTATTTTATTTTTTTAAAAACAGAACCGTGTGAACTGGTTGAACTGTCAGTTCAAACCAATTTTTCCGATTCTCAACCGGTTCTACCGGTTCATTGCAAAACTTGTAACACCCCAATTTAGGGGCTAAATTTTAGAAATTATAAAGTATTGGATTTAATTGGTATTTTGAAAGAAACAGTGGATTAAATTGTAAAATTTCAAAGTTGGAAGATCATTTTAAGAAGCGCAAAAAGTTCAGTGACTAAACTCATGGTTTACCCATTTTTTATGGGACGAACTATACCCATTTCCCGTATGTTTTTGCGCATATTTCCCAGTTTTCCTCCTCCATTAACCCTCATTTCAACTCCGATCTACTCACCGTCTGACCTCCGATCGACGAATCGAAACCACCATCGTGTTCGTTGTCGACCGATGAACAAAACCCCTCAAACCGTTCATTTTCATCGTCATTCGTCGTTAATTTCAGCCATAAGTATCATCGATTTTAACTCAATTTCAGTTGGTTTTTCGTCAATTCACGACGATCCGGTCATCCGTTTACGACACCTCCCACAGCATCGTGTTCATTGTGTCGTTTCGAGTCTGCTGGTGTCTTCCGTTTCTCCTTCGTCGTCGGCGCGTGGAGGGGTGAGACTGTCAAAGTTTCCGACGTTTCAGAATCAAGCTCTCCGCCGTTCAAAATTTTGAACTGAGCTTGGTAAGTGTCTCAAAATGCCTTAAAATAATTTTTAGAAAATTTTCAGGGAATTTTCCGACACCGTATCACTGTTCACGCACCACCCCACGAGAGTGGGCATCGTCTGGGTGTTAATTTTGTAATTAATTTCTATTTGGGTGCTATTTGTGTAAAATTTGGGTATTAGTTTCGTAAATATTTGCAGAAGGTGGCTAATTTTGTATTTAATTTCTGTTAGAGTGATATTTGTGTAAAATGATCGACTGTTGACCGTTGACCACAGTTGACCAGAACTTTGCCCGGCGTTAACCGGGCATTAAACGACCTTTGACTTTTACCGAGTATACATATCCTGACATTTTTCAACGTTTTGAGTCCAATTCCGCAGTCCATTTTTTGAAATTCGGACTCAAAGGTTTCGAAATTGTCAGTCAAACCCGTTGACTTTAACTTTGACCAAAAATTCAAAATTTTTGAAAAGTCATATTTTATGTTTTTGATGTTTTGAATATGTTTTTGGGGTCTGTTTCGCCAAATTTGAACCCGGTAAGTTGGTTTTCACTGATTAATCACCCGATTCGATCCGTTTATCGCAATTAAGCTCTGTTTTTTATATAATTTATATTGATATGTATCTGAGAAATTATTGGAAGTTAAATTAAAGATCGAGGACGTTCGAATAGAATTTTTATGGTCGCTCAGTATGGCACGAAAATCGAGGTAATACTTTACTACCTCTTTATGCTTTATGGAATATGTTGATATTGGTAAATGCATGAATAAGATAATGTTGATCACTTTTGTGGAGTTGAATAATTTATACACTCGATATGAATGTGGTAGAAATTCTGTAACTGAATACGGATCGAATGACTAATATAAGTGATTGAGGAATTGTTAGAATTAAATTACAAGTTTGCGATTAGTGATAAAGAAATCAGCTCTGGATTTGTAACTTATATTATATATCATCAAAGGTTAAACGTTAAAGGTATTTGGATAGGAAATTATGAGAATACTCTGGTAGGATAAAATTACGAAAACACCCTTATGTTGCAGGATGACAAGAATTGTCTCTGGAAGTTGGTTAATAACTCTGAAAAGACATATTGATCCGATATAATTACAGATATGCATAAGAAATAATGTTTTTTTAGAAAATTTGAATAGTTGGCTTTTTAACGCCAAAAAAGATTTGCACAAGATGCTAGAAGTTTGTTAAGGAATAATTTCAAGATCAGAGAATGATCAGGAAAGCAATTGACCATAAGATCTTTAAATTATAATTATTTTCGTTAAGAGCTAATACCAAAATTATCTGGTTAAGAAATTATGAAAATGCCCTTGAAAGGGAAACTAATCTGAGTTAACCCTAAATAAGAAAGTACTTTGAGGATTCATACTTAACTCGATTAAGTACGTATTTGATTGTTAAGATCCTGACTTAGTGCAAAAAAATTCGTGATATTCCATTTGTAAAATCTGAGAAGGCACTTGACCGAAAATATCCGAGTTATAAGTTAATACTTGAAGAATGATTTATCAATGGTGTTATTTTGTCAGAATTATTTGAAATGACTGAAGTAAATGATAAGATTAAATTAAATAATAAGAACGGATGGAAGGAAAAGATTGAAATACCGTTAATCTGTAAAATAACCAAAATACCCATGTAATGGAAATGACTCAAGAATATCACCAAGCTCAGGAATGATTGGATATCCTCGAGATCTGAAAATAATAGAATGAAACTGAGCACCAGAATGACCAAAATACCCTTATGGCCTAAACTAAGTAGAGGTGTTAGATTAATTAAGGAGTCCAAATAAACATGGATGTGGTACTGCTCTTAAAAGTTATAGATCATATATTAAGCCAAGCAACCAATTCTAGTGTTATATCAGTACCTGAACGACATAGATGTCACTTGAATGCGTGTTTGTATTCTTAAGTTTGGCTCGATGATAATTTTGGAAGTATTCAGCTCAACTCTAGATCACATTTAGTACTAAGAATTGGATATTTGTTCGACAAATCAATCACGAAGAACGAACTTGTAACAGCCTTCAATAACGGGTTAGTGATTATATTGTAAAATTTCAGAACATGGTGATTAAAGTAGAATAATTGAATAGTATTGTAATTTGATATAGGGTTAATTTGCAAGGAAGAAGAAATAGAAGGATAGAATGGTCTTTTGGCAAGGAAAATAATTAAGAAGGGATTTATATATATATATTAGCTCCACGTGGAAGAGAGGAAAGAAAAACAAAGGTTCCAGAGTTCTCTTCTTATCTTCTTTTCTCCCAAACGTGAAGACTTATAGCAAATGTGAGATTCTTCATAAGCTAATTGTTTGCTGAAATTTAAGTTGTTTGCTTTAGATGTTAATTAAGCTTAAGGAAGCTTAGTTTGTTGTAAAACAACAAAATGAAGAGTGTAGAAGGATTTAAAGATTTGGAGTTTTTGAATGAAATTTTGAAATAGAGTCTATAATTGGAATAAGAAGTTGAATTTGACTTGTCATCTATCTAAGTAAGGAAGATGAAGAGTTAGAATTAGATTTTGAACATGTTGGAATTTGGGTGAAATTCTTGAATTCTATGCGGAAGATTGGATTTTAAGTTTAAAGAAGTGGTTATTGAGTAGTAATGAGTGTAAGTATATGTATACGAGTTATAAATCTTAAAGGAAGTGAAATAATAAGAGTTGTGTTGGAAAGGGGTGAATTTCGTGTTGAAAATGGCAATTCTGGTTGAGT